GAACTGAACTAGAACTGAACTAGAACTGAACTAGAACTGAACTAGAACTGAACTAGAACTGAACTAGAACTAACTAGAACTGAACTAGAACTAAACTAGAACTGAATTAGAATTGAAATTCGGTTTCTAAAACGAAGCTTGTTTTTGAGAATAGCTTTTTTCTATAGAAAAAAAGTTTTCTCAAAATGAAATCTTTTCTGAATAAAATAATAATATTTTCATCAAAGAATGTGAACTAAAATACATATTTCATCCTTTAAAAGCTCTGACACAGGATTTAAAGTTAAAAAAACAGCAGGAATCAAAGAGTAATTGTTTTAAATGAAGCGATTTATTAGCTAAACTAAACCAAGAGGAAGAAAGAGTGAAAATAAAGTCTGAGAGATGGAGAAAAAAATAAAGCGTCTCAAGTAGGATTTCTCCTTGCATTTTATCATGACAAAGTGAGATGTGGCACTTTTTCTATTTTTAACCATTTTTTCATTATTTTATATCAATGAAACGTGTTAATTTCAAACAATTTGAATTTTCTTTAATCTTTGATCAAAAACAAAAAAAAAAACGAAAAATGCAGTTAATTAAGGTGCAATTGAAATACATACGCATGGATGCAGGCATTCAACCATCCAAACATTTTTATCATTTATATTTTGCTTTAAACCAAATAAATATTCCTTTTTTTTGCTGCCTTCCTCTAAATGCAACAGCAATAACAACAATAGAGAAATATGCATAACAATTCTAGAATTGCACATTCCTTGGATGCATTCTGTAGATGCAAATGCAGGAATACGAAAAAAATCAAAAAAAAAATTTTGCAAATTCTTCTGTTGTGCAAGTGCATTTCATCATGCATGAATGCAATGTGAATCAGTCAGTGATGACTGACAATATTCGATGCATGATGAGATTTATATTTTATTGTTTTCCTTTCAAATGTTGTGGTTGTTATTGTTGTTGTTTCGCTGTATCTGTTTCTAATCCTGTTCATCGTTTTGTTTATATTGTTGTTGTTGTTGTTCGTTTTTTGTTTTAATGTTCGGGCATCCTGCTGTCTTATTGTCTAATAAAGAATGTTGTTGCTGCTGTTGTTTTTGTTATTGTCATTGTGGTTACTTGTGTAAAGGCTTTAATATCCTTGTTTTGTTGTGTTTTAGTTATTGTTGTTGTCGTTGTTGCTTTCGTGTGTTTAAAACTTTTGTATCATTCGTTGTTTATACGCACCCCAACAAGGACGTTTGCCACGCGCACAACCATTATAGAATTTATTTAATTTACAGGATATGCAGCTTCTACTGCTGCTCCTTCTGTTTCTTCTTCTTTTTCTACATGTTTCTAACTTTAACGATGTGTGAGAGAGCGTTTTGTCGTCGTTTCGTATAACTACTATATTGTTATTTATTGTTGTTGCTGCTAATTTATTAGTTAAAACATAAAAAAAATGTAAAAATAAAGAACCAAACAAGAGTACAATTTGCATGTTGGAAATTTTGTAACATTTTGTTTCAGAATATTTTAATCCATCTCCGTGCAAGGATGTTTCTAACGGACAATTTTCAAATTAATATTGAAACATCTTTTTATATAAAAACTTAAAGTGTTGAGAGAAAATTTAAGAAATTTAAGAAAAACATTCTATAACATTAAAGAAGTGATGAAATTTATTTAAAGAGATTTCTTTAAATTCATAAATTTTTAAATAACTGAAAAAATTGAGATTTCAAATAATTTATTTAAATAAAAATATTAAGAATTTCATTTAAATTTTAATAAAAATTTAAAATATAAAAACCTTATAACAGTGTATAAAAAAAACATAAATAAGTTATTGTGAGAAATTTTATTAATTTAAAAAGCGATCGCGAACGAATATTAATAAATAATATTATATAAAATTTAAATAAAGGAATTTTGTGTAAAAAAAACTGAATTAATCGATACAATGTAAGACCAAATATAGAAAAATGTGAAATTAATTTAAAAATGAATTTAATTTTAAATCCATAGAAGTAAAACATTATAGACAGCTCTTTTCAAAATTATGTTTAAACTATTTCTTGCATTTAAAAATTTTTGTTTAAAATTTAAATTTTAATTAAAATATTAAATTAAATGGAAATTTAAAATTGAAATCTTATTTTGAAAGAAGCTTTTTTCATCTTTTAATAATTTAAAATTTAGTTTTCTTACTTTTTCCTCAAAAGTCTATAAAATTCGAAAAAATATTGCTCAACTTTTTTGATCTTGAAATACGGAATTTTCAGGAATTTCCTATAAATAGGAAGTTTGAGGAAAAAAATCTTTAAAAAAGAGAAAATTTCCAAAAATTTAAACTAATCGCAAATTTTATTTAATTAAGAATTTATCAAAATCTTTTCATACAGGCAGTGCTGAATCCGAATATGACCTCAAAATGTATCTATTACATTAGGTGTTTCAAATATAGTGTCATAAATTTGAAGTTATTTTCGTGCTGTTACAGCATCTCAAATATGACCAAAATCGGGGGTTTTATCAATCTTCATGACATGATATCTGGAAAAAACGGATGTGATGAATAAATTCTAAAGCCAAATTCGTATTTTGCTCTTCAGAAAAGTTTGGGCTTCGACATTTTCCAATTTTTTATTCAAGAAAATGGTAAAATTTTAGTTAATAATATAAGATGAGAAAAGCACAAGACCTGAAAATATGTATAACTTATTCTAAAACATAATCACTTCAGATTTTTTAACAGCAAACTTGGAACTAGTGGTGACGCAATTACTTCTGGAACTTGTTTCTCGAAACATTGCTGTGGTTCTAAAATACTTCTCAAGAGTTCTGAAAGGAACTAATTCTTTGAAACTAACTATACATTGGTATTACACTTGTAACATACTAATTCCGAAACAACTTCTTGGAACCAGTTGAAAAAAAATTAAATTATTAACATATTCATTAATAAAACAGAACTCGAGAGAATTAAACAGATCTCTAATTGCATTGTATCTGGAGTATTATCACAAATTTAAGAAAATTAAGTAAAATTCTATAAATGAAAGTAATTCTTCGACAGTTTCTCCAAATATGTGCTAATCTTAATAATTTCGAACAGAAAAGAACTATTTTTAAATAAGATGTACATAAACGTTCTCTAAAGATCCCTAGAACTAGTTCCAAGTTTGATAAATTGGAACAAAAATCATTGATTAAAGAACTGGTTCGAGAACAGTTTGAACAAGTAAGAGTGTTATATTCGACTATGCTGAATCTTATATACCCTAAGCCAGTAGTGAGCGTTAAAGACATTTTCTGAAGGGGGCCTTGGTCAATTATGGACCGATTCTCATAAAATTCGGTAGAGAGATTTGTGCTCGTAAGAAACTTACTTATGTTGAATTTCAGCGTATTTTCAAGCCAGTAGTGAACGTTAAGTCATTTTCTGAGGGTGGCCTTATATAGGAGGTAGGGTAAATTATGTACCGATTCTCATAAAATTTGGTAAAGAGCATTTAGCTCATATAAAACTTATTTATGTCGAATTTTATGGCTATACTTGCGTTTTTAAAACAGTTATGATTGTAAAAGCTGTTTTTCGGGGGGCCACTTGTATCGGGCCTATGCGAAAACGCTTACCTATATTGCCCATTTTCAATACGAAACAAACCTTTCCTATAACAAATATTTGTGAAAAATTTCAACACTCTAGCTCTTTCCGTTTGGACTTAATCGTGCTTTCAACAGACATATAGACGGACGCACGAACAGACGGACAGATGGACAGACGGTCGGACGGACAGACATGGCTAGATCGTCTTAGAATTTATAAGGACTTTAATAAGGAATATATACATATATACTTTTGTGGGTCTATGATCAATATTTCGATGTGTTACAAACGGAATGACAAAATCAATATATCCCCCATCTTTTTTAAACGATGTTTCATTTTCGCAGAAAATTGTTATTTTCAAATAAAATTATAAAAATTTCTTAAATCTCTCGATTTCAAACGAATCGGCTTAAGCGATTATAAACATTTAGTTTTATAGAGTGTGTTTTGGTATTTAATCAATATTTAAACAATATTATATTAAACTAAAATAATTCATTTATTTAAGCTGGATTTAAAATATAAATTATAGTTTTAAGAATAAAATTTTTTTAAACATACTAAAGTGTATACCTTTGCCTACAGACGTATGAGTAATATGAAATAAATCAAAATAAAAAAAACATTGCTAATATATGAACAATTTTAAAACATCATTTATTAAATAAAAAGGAAACTAATCTGACAAATGAAAAATGAAACTGAACTAGAAAAGTGATTTAGAGAAAAAAAAACTAAAAATGACTAAAACAGTAAAGTGATTAAACAACGAAATAATAAATAAACAAATAGTATATAATGAGAATACATGTGTGAATGTGTATGTAGTTATAATAAAAGAAATAAAACAAAGGAAAAGCAATACATAAATAAGTACATAAGTCAATAGCAGCAACATAAAAACCTCAAAAAAATACCGCCCAATAATAACAACAAAAACAACAGCTCTAAACTTCAACACTTTTATACCAAAAATCAAAACAAAAAAGAACAACAAATCTTTATAAAAAATACACAGAAGTAAAACACAGACACTTTAGTTGAGTTAAGAACAACCAACCAACCAAACAACCGCCAACAAGAAGACAAAACAACCAACAAACAGTCAGTTAGCGTCACTCTTAAACAGTTGTTCAATTTTTTTTAAGTTAAGAAACAACAACGACAACTACATAAGAATTATAAAATAAAAACAAAACAATTTTGTAATTTGTTAATGATTTCAACTAAATTTTGAAGAAAAAATTAAAAAAAAAAACAAATAATTATTTATAATTAAGCCTCATCAGTGGCAAAAACCAAAACAAAAAAAAATATGTGAAAAATAAATCTCAGTTTAAAATTTAAAAAAAATAACAAATCACACAAAACAGTGCAACAAACCAAAAAAAAAAAAAAAAAAAGAGTTAAAATTGACTAAATGTTGAAATATTCAATGTTTAAATTGTATTTTGGGCCGTTGTTACCGCAAAAATGTTTACGGCCATTTTTAAAATTACAAGAATTTTTATTGAGCCATGTCAGAGTGTTTGTGTTATTATTAAAATACAGCAAAGAAACAACTGCAACCATAACAACGACAACAAAAAACTAACAAATTCCCAGCAACAGCAGCAAGTGAAAATTCAAACCCAACAGAAGGAGCAGCAACAGCCACAGCACAAAAAACGACAACAATTGCTAAAAAGAGAGCAACTAAAAAAACAGCGGCAGGACCAAGAGCAGCAATTAAAGCAATTACAACAAATTTACAAAAGAATTAGCAATGTTTGTATTGCCCGAATTAACACAATTACAAATACAACAAAAACTATTAAAACAACAACAACAGCAGCAACAACAATCATACAAATTTCCCACACAACGACGACAACAACTACAGCAATGCCAAAAGCAATCACAAATCAACAAATCATCAACATTGCCAACAACAACAACATTGAACAATTTTTCATCAGTAACTGCTATACAATCATCAACATCGTCAACAAACAGCAGCAACAACAAAAGAAATCGAAATACTATCACAGCAGCAACGACAACAACAACAAATATTCATCTGCATACAACAACAACAACAACAACGGGAAATTTAACTGTAACGCCTCGTTGCCTACACCTGCATTTGCATTTAATTATTGTGATTATCTTGGCCTGTTGTACAAGATGGTAAGTACCCCTTTCCTATTCCCACACACACACATACATACTAACACTTTTAGAGAAACATGTTGTACATCATTTATAAACAAACCAACGAACCATCGAATCATGTACGAAAAAAAACGTTACAAATTTATCACTTTCAAAGCCAACATCGTCGCCATCACCAACATGACTAAAACTCTACTCTAGTATAACTCATGAGCACAAACCTCAACCATCATCATTAACAACATCCATCCATCCATCCATCTATCCAACTCATTGTCATCGTCACGACTTTTTTTACAACAATTTTTTTTCTTTCTTTACATTTAAATAAAAAAAGGTGTTTTTTAAATTGATTGTTAACCAGGCCATAAACCATAAAAAAAATTAAACATTCATTGTAAACAGCGCTTAAGACAAGACAAATTAATCAATCATTTAATTATTCCATCAACACCAAAAAGCAAAAAACAAACAACAAAAAATACACGGACAATACAAATCGTGCTGTATGTGACCCCTTAAATATCTAAAGTTTTAATAGAATTGTAAATACGCCCATTTAATAAGGCAACTTAATTTGCATCGCGCTAATGGAGGAACGATAAAAAACGTATAATAAAAAAAAAATAAATAATTGTCACTTACCTCACAGTTTTGTTAAAAAAATTATGTTAAATCTGTAAGAATAAAGAAAATATGGATTATTGATGAGTTATTAAATGATTAATAGTGAGATGTTGGAAACTGTTGATATAACTTGTTTTAAAATTACTAGATGAAGTAGGGTGCTATTTGATTATACCGATACGACTTAAGGCACTATTAGCAGATCAAACTTATTCGACGACAAGAAGTTATAATTACCTAAAAGTTCCACTTTTTAGCTTTTTAAGCAATCAGAACACAATGAATTTGATTTTATGATTATAGTCCCAATAAATTCAAAAGGTACCAATTAGAACAAAAAAGTACCAGAAAGTCCCTTTTTATAGTTTTTTATTTAATCAGTGTGATGCAAGTTTAAAACTCAAAAAACGCCATTAAATAAACGAAAAATTACCAAAAATTCCCCTTATATAGGTTGTTGTTTACTTCGGGCTTTAGAAAATTCAAAAAGTACCTTTTGATAAACGAAAAAGTACCAAAAAATCCCCTTTTATAAGCTGTTAATTTAATGTTTCTAGGTTCAGTATTGTAGAAAATTCTAAAAGTATCTTTCGAATGAAAAAGTACCAAAAGTCCCATTTTATAAGTTCTAACTCACCTCAGCCTCATTAATTTCTTAATTTCTTGTTTCTGGGTTCAATATGTGTTATAAAAAAAAACTCAAAAATACCATTTAATGATAAAAAAAAAGTACCAAAAAGCTAGATCAAACTAAATCGACGAAAAGAATGTGTATTTACCAAAAAGTTCCTTTTGTATAGCTTTTCAATCAATCAGGACACAATAAATTTGTACCTTTTGACAAACGAAAAAGTACCAAAAATTCCCCTTTTATGGATTATAATTTACTTCGGGTTTTAGAAAATTCAAAAAGTACCTTTTGATAAAAGAAAAAATACCAAAAATTCTCCTTTTATAAGCTCTTAATTTCATGTTCTTCATTCAATATTGTAGAAAACTAAAGAAGTACCAGTTAAAGAATTAAAAAGTACTAAAAAGTCCCTTTTTATAGGATAACATTTACCACGGGCTCTACAAGTTTAATTTCATGTTTCTAGGTTCAATATTATAGAAAATTCTAAAAGTACCTGAATGAAGAATGAAAAAGTACCTAAAGTACCATTTTATAGGTTCTTATTTACCTCGGAAAAACAGCACCAAAAAGTCCCCTTTAATTAGCTCTTAATTTCATGTTTCTAGGTTCAATATTGTAGAAAATTAAAAAAGTGCCTTATGAAAAACAAAAAATTATCTTAGTCCTTGTTACCAGAGTTCCAAATTACTCCCTTTTGGAATATTTAGTATTACTAAAATTACCAATTTTTCAAATTTTATCAAAACTGGCTCAATAAGTTTCAATTAAATCAAATTTCCCGTTTTAGCCCTTTTTGGTACTTTTTTTCTTCCCTTTACGGGAAAAAACATTTAGCTTTAAAAAGTTGCAATATCGTAGTGGGAACCCATGTATTATGTACCTATTCATGTTCAATTCATTCATTCAATAAACAAAAAACTATAATTTATGAAAAAAAGTACCAAAAAAAGTACAATTAAACGTCGGAATATTCCAAAGGTACAGAATTCGTATTAAGTTTTCCATAAAATACGAATGAAAGGAAAGTCAGTTATATGAGGGCAGGGGGTTAATATTATCCTATCCTTATAAATTTTGGTAGAGGGATTTACGTTTACATCAGTTATTTATGCAGAATATCATCGTGATATTTGTGTTTTGACCATCAGGTCATTTTCTGAATGGGAATTTGTATGGGCGATAGGCCCAATAATTATGAATATCAGCAGTATCATTAAGACTTATATAAAACTAAGTGTTTGCCGATTTTTGAAGTGATACAAGAACATTTTACATATTAATGAACTTAAAAGCCCTATTCGGGGGGTGAGGTTGTACGGGGGCTATACAAAATAATGGACCGATTTTAATCATTTTCAATAGACTTTAAGGACTTGTAGGACCAATATTTTTGGGTTTTCAGCAAATACGCATAATACCCTCCCCACTATAGTAATGTAGGCTATAAAAAGTACCGGACACCTGTCCACTTATTTTTTTAATGAACTACGGTGGGTATTAAAGTTTTGTTTCAACTTTTTCAGACTAGGAGATATGAGGTTACCGGATTTTCCCTTTTTTTCCCATAAATATTCGTATTTCCAAAACTTCCGTCATTTTGGCTGAAGACAAATCTCCTGTTCAAATCTTTTCCATTTTCCATACCAAACAACTTGTATTAATAAGAGGTATTTGTGGAAAATTTTAGCATTCTTAGTTCGAAAGGACAAAGTTAGATCATTTTAGAATCTAATGAGAACCAAGAATATATGGGTCCAATATTTCGATTTGTTACAAAACGAATGACTAACTCGTATTTATTGACGGTGTCGTATCGAATTACTATTAAAGTAACTGGCGATGCCGTGAGAATCTAGTGCGAATTACTATTATCGAGAAACTTTCCTTAAGAACCCTAGAGACCTATGACCAAGGTCAAAATATGTAGCTCAAAACAAAAAGGAAAATCGTATTTTCTTTTATAAATTGTATATTATAATGACTGTAGTAATTATTAAGGTTACCAAGGCACTCGGGAGTAATCGGCAATCAAAGAGCAAATGATCTTGCAACGAGAAGGGTATTGACAACATGGGGAAAATCCCATACGGTTAGTTATATAAAGAATCTATTTATTACAACCCTCAGGAACTCTGATAGTCCAAGAGTTACTCCGTATTTCGATTGGAATGAAGAAGCAAATTTGGACACTTTTGTTTTTGAATCGAGTTACAGAGAAACCTGCCAGGCAGTTGATTTTCTGATCATTGAACTATAATACTTGTAAAGGAGTGCTCAAAAGACACCACAGCGGTCTAGGTGAATATCTTTGGACCAAAAACTGTATTTGAAACTTTGAATTGAGATGAACAGAATTGCTGATGAAAATACAAAACAACAATCACATCACAACAACTAAGCTAAACACTATTCCCTACATTCTTCCAAAGTTTTAAAGCGGATTATTATATGCTGTGAAAACTATCTCAAGTATGTCTTTAAAAAGGTAATAAAATGTAATAAAAATTGTACACTTGAATTAATTTCTCATGAAGTTAGCAACTTAGAAAAACTTAAGGACTTCTCGCATAAATATTTATATAAGTATTTTTATGAATAAGTAAATGTACAGTTTTTATTACATGTAAAAGTAACAGTGGTTAGTAATTGACTTGTATCATGAGAGGCTTTTCAAACTTGCATGTTTTCTAGGCATAAATAAACTGAAAGTGTACAGCATACTTTTAGGGCTCAATGCAACTAATTAGATGCGTTTTCGTTCACACAGTAATTTAGCTAAACTATGCATTTATTTAATATTCTCACAAGGGTGGTCTCTACACTCAAACCGGGGGTTTCGCCAACACAACTCACATACATCTTATTAACTACAACTACTCTACAAACAACTTAAAACCTCGATGCTGGCATTCATCCTTAGTAGCTCTTAAGGTAGATACTACGTTATATGTACATATGTAAGTATGTAGCTACTGCAGTAGAGGAGGCACAAACACATTTTGCATTGAGTAATTGGTGATACTGTTGATGATGTTGCAGATGCAAATGCAAGAGATGATGTCGTCGATATTTGTAACTGTTATGTGTTTTACTTTAAAAAACAATCAACGACAGATAGCAAATATGTATGTACACCTCCTGGTTAGTAGGAAACGTGGATGGAAGGATGAGATTCCCTGTTGTAGCAGTTGTTATCATTATTGTTGTCAACATAATTTTCTGGCTTGTTGACATCTTAAGACATCAGCAACGACTTAAAAAATTGCATTAAAAACTTAACTGCAATGCACTAGATCTTGCAGCAGCAGCTGCAGCATCATCATCAACAACAACGTAGTTGACGCCATTACCAAGTCATAATTGCAAATGCATAATGAGCCTGACACATACACAACCACACACTTTCAAATTCCAATACAAACTCACGCATTGTTTTGAATGATGCTCGAATAGAAGAAGATAAGAATTACAAGTATTGGATGGATGGATAGATTGTTGGATGGAATGGCTGAATGTTTTGTTTAAGAGGAGTATATAAATTAGCTGCAATGACATGACGAGCTTAAGCATGATTTATTTTTTTTCTGCCAACACAACATCCCTACTCGGAGGGAGAATAAAAGGCGTTTTTGTTTTTGGATTTGTCAGTTGTTGTCTTGGGTTTGTGTGTTGCCATTCATTCAATGGTGGTTACAAAATCACGAGGCTGGCTTCTTGCGTCTGTGCGTTGAGGTGTGTGCACGTAAGCACTTGT